TTAATCAAATTTTTTGTGGATCGGTCCTTAATTGACCCCCCCCACATATAAGGTCCCCATCAGAAAAATAATTTAACGCTCATTACTGGCCTAAAAATGAGTAAAGCGATGAAATTCGTTATAAACATGACCTGTATGAACCAAGATGGTTCTACAAAATTTTACGAGGATCGGTCTGTAATAGACCATCCCCCATATCAGGCCCCTTCAGAAAATGACTTTAAAACTAAATACTGGCTTAAAAATACTAGTAGATCAATGAAATTCGACATAAACTAGTTTTGTATGAGCTAACATCTCTCTACAAAATGTTGTGGGGGTCGGCCCATAATTGACCCTACCCCCCATTTAGACAAAAATACTCTAACGCTCATTACTGGCTTAAAAATGCGAGTACAGCGATGAAATTCGACACTGATAAGTTCTATAGGAACCGAAATCTCTCTACCAATTTTTATGAGGATCAGTTCATAATTACCCCACCGAAAATTTTAACAACGCTCATTACTGGCTGGAAATTATACACAAATATGATTTGTATAAATAAAAATCGTTCTACGAGATTTAAGGATGATCGGTTCATAATTAGTCTTACGCCCCATATAAGGTCCCCTTAAGAAAATTACTTTAATTGGCTGAAAATATGAATACCGCAATGCAATTCGACATAAACTAATTTTAAGCTAAAATCTTTTTACCATATTTTATGAGGATCGGTCCATAATTAACCCTAACCCTGTACAAGGTCCCTTTAAGAAAATTACTTTAATGTTCATTACTGGCCTAAAAATATAAGTAGAACTATAAAATTTGAAATAAGTAAGGAACTGAAATCTTCCTATCATCAAATCCGAAATCTTCACTGTCAATAGTTGAATCCCCATTAAGAGAACTATTTCAAATATTACCCTGATGTTCACATTAGTGTCGATATATAAAAATAAAATATTCAAAATATCAAAGTTTATTTATATGGCAGTGATTTGATGGTGGGTATATAAGATTCGGCATAGCCGAATATAACACTCTTACTTGTTACTCATAACTTTTAACGTTGTGAACCGATTTTGCTGATTTTCAATACCAAACTGCTTAGGATAACAATGAATATTTTTGGTGAATTTGGTTGATTTATTTTGCTTAGTTTTAACGTAAGCGTGTTTTAGGCAGACAGACAGACGGACATATCTAAATCGACTCAGAATTTTATAAGGACTCGGAATATATATACTTTGTTGGGTCTCAGATGAATATTTCTTGGTGTTACACACGGAATGACAAACTTATATATACCCTCTACTGATGGTGGTGGAGGGTATAAAAATCAGAAAACAATTTTTAAAATTTTGTATGAAAACTACTCAGTTTTTGTTATGGTTTTTCATATAAAATTTTATATGTTGTTTTACATACTTCTTTCTGAATACGGGCCTTAAAATGGATCTCATAATTTAAGTTTTTTTGTTTTTTATTACAATAAGCTTTTATTTTGTTTAAAAAAGTTTGAAGGAAGTACATACTTTATACATAGTCCCAAATGTGTATTATATCAGGATTCAGTTATTGTCCATAAAGTGGCTTAAAAAGAAATTCGGTTATAGTCCTAATTCGCTTATAGTCCACAAAAATTGTGGTTGTGGACTATAAGCGAAAACTACTGTATATCATTATTTGTTAATGAGAAATATGCGTTAAAGTGATTTTTGGAAGGGTACCTTATATCTGAGCTACGACCAACTATGGACCGATCGTAAAAAAATTTACAGTACCATTTCAGTATATAAAATCAATATTTGTGCCAAATTTTGTGTGGACATCATAATCTGGTAATGAGTTATGTGTGTTTAACTGCTTTTCTGAAGGGGATTTTGTATGGCAGGTCAAACCAATTATGAACCGATTCATAACATTATTCCTGTGTATTATATTGACATAAAGCTTTTATTTGGAAAATTTTGTAAAGATATCGCAATTCTAACGGAAGTTATTAACAATAAACCCATTTTCCGGGAATATGTCCTTTGTATGGCAGGTATATGAAATTTTTTAATTTTGATTTATAACTCTGCCTAGGACAATAATGAATATTTTGGGTGAATATCGTTAATTTGCATTGCAACGTGAGAGTGTTTTACACAGACAGACAGACGGACATAGCTAAATCGATCCACAATTTAATAAAGACCCGGAATATATATACTTTGTTGGGTTTCAGATGAATATTTCTTCGTGTTACACACGGAATGGCAAACTGTTATATATACCCTCTATCACCATTGATGGTGGTGGAGGGTATAAAAAGAGTACCATTTTCCCACTTTTCAAAAATTAAAATTACAAAATATTTCGTGTTTAAACCTATATATCACAAGTAAAACTCCAACGATTCAAATCTACATTCATTTGATCCTGAAAAATTGTGCTTCCAAAATGTACCAAACAATTTACCCAAATTTTACCCTATAAGGTATATATACCACCCGAATTCCAAAATTTTATAAAAATTGGCTCAATTAGTTTGAAAAAATTAAATTTCCGTTTTTCCTTTTTCCCCAGTGAAATAGCAAATATTTTGTTTCAATAAATATAACAGAGTTTGTATGTAATTTAATAGTCATACGTCAATAAGTCGAAAAACTTTTCTTAATGTGATAAAAAAGTACCAAAAATACCGTTTTCTCCCTTTTGCAAAAATAATAACTGCATTATAAAATAGTACGAAACAGGTATCTCATAATTTTGAAAGATATTTCAAAAATATTTAAAAAATTTTCTAATGTTTAGTAGTTAAAATGTTATAAAGGGCCAAAAAAAGACACCAAAATCATCTTTGTTACATATTTTCGCCCCTTAAAAGTACGAAATTCAAGAATAGATACGTGTGCATTTAAAATCCAGTATCACTAATATTGTGTAAGATAATTAAGAAAACCTGTTTCACCCGTTTTTTCCTTTCTTACCCCTAAATGTACAAATTTCCATAAATCCCTCCTTAGTGGATCTATATAACCAAAACACATCTACTGTTAAAATTTCATGATTCTAGGTTCAGCCGTTTGGGCTGTGCCGTGATGAATCAGTCAGTTAGTAACCCGACTCCTTTATATATAGATAGATAAAATACATTATGGAAAATTCTCGTTTTATTAATTCGTTTAACAAAATTTTAAATTTTTAAAGTTTACAACAAGAATGTCCCTCAAACAAAATTAATCCAATTTTGTTTTATCTATATATATAAAAATGAATGTGAGTTTGTATGTATGTACATATGTATGTTTGTTTGTTTGGACTTTATAGACTGCTAAACGGCTGGACCGATTTTCCTGAAATTTTCACAGTGTCTTCCTGTGTGTCTAGAAGGAACTATGGGAACTAAATTTTTGTATGGACAACTTTGACATCCACATGACATATGGGAGCAAAATGGGCGGACTAGCTTAGTTAGCGTGGCCCTCCCATATAAAGAAAATATTAAATTAGTATATCTGAGAAAATATTACAGCTTTAGTATCAACATGAATATTTAGGACAAAAAATTAGCGGAATAGCAATAGGGGGCTTGGTACTCCCATATGAATTAAATACAAAAAATCGTTTATACTATTGGAGCTGGAAACTTTAACTTTTGCACGAAGCATTTTAACATTTATGTGAACATTTTGGAAGAAAAATTGGCGGACTAGCCAATTAGGGGCCGTGGATCGTTTATCTGGGAAACTATTAGATCTAGAATCCTCAAATTTTGCACGAAGAACTTTGACATTAATTTTAACATTTGGGTAAGAAATTGGCGGAATAGCAATATGGGAAGTAGCACTTCCCATATGAATTAAATACACAAATTCGTTTATATAGAAACTATTAGAGGTAGAATCTTAATTTTAATATAAAAGTGAACATTTGGAGGTAAAATATGAGGACATTCATTTGGGGTTCTTGGAACCTTTCATATGAATTAAATACAAAAATGAGTATATCTGAGAAACTCTTAGAGCTAAAATCCTTAAATTTTGCGCTAACAACCCTGACATGTGAATATTTGAATCTATAATCCTACAATTTTGCACAAAGAATTTTCACATTTATGTGAACATAGGAGGTACCATACCCCTATTGTGGACTATTAAAAGGAGCTATGGTACCTCCCATATGGATTTTTTTTTTTTTTGTTAAAAATGTTTGAAATTTTTTTATTTCTTTATGATTTTGAGATTAAAACCGATGAAATGTTTGCGTAATTGGAGGGATTTTATAAAGAATATATCGTTAACTATGTCTGCTGATGTTTTCTGGTTTTAGATTTTGTTTTTCAATATTTCATTTTCTGTTTTTTAATTATACAAAATTCGCTAATAAACGATTACTAGAGATTAGTAGATAATGGACTTTTTTCTACATTTTTCATGAATATCGTAGAAAAAAAGTAAAAATTCAAAAAATTTCCATCATGTTCAAATTCATACATTTTATGAACTTTTAGTATTCTAAATGAAAATGGTTTGGAGAAAAAAATCATGTTCGATTCATAATATTTATTACCAAATTCATTCCAGATATGAATTATTTTTTTCTGTGTACTTATTTTATTTTCGATAACTCTAATATTTTCTACTAATTGAATTGAACAAAATTGTTGAAAAAGATATTTTTTTTATAAAAAATTCCAAAAAATCAGTGTTTATATTATTTTTAGCACATCTATTCATTATTCGTAAGATCTTATTAAATTTTAAATAAAAAAATTAAATATTTTTGTTAAAACAAACTACATAATTGGGAGACCAAACATTTTTAAAATGCTCTGTTAATTAAAGAATGTGATTTTATTACGGTTTTATATTTTGTACGTATCCTTTTTGCCGAAACCGTTTCGTCTCAATATATTTTTACTTTTCCGGCAAATATTTTTAGATACATATTTGATTTAAGCTCTATCAGCAAATTTATTTTTATGCATCCAATTAAATCAAACGCTAGCGATAGTCATGATTACGCACCCCAAGTAGACAAACATTTGTGGAGATTACATGTAAATCATAATATTTTAGCACACTCTCCGGTGTCACGTGCCCAGTTTTGGTGCGTTTGTCTGTGTGTGTTTAGGTACTGTGTACACTATTCAAAAAGTGGAAGTCGATGACAAACCTATTAAAAAAGGATTTTTCACTTATTTATCTTTGAGAACAACTTTTTTCGCACATTTACAAACTTATGTTTTTCTTTTACATTCATTTACTTTTTCCTTTTTTACGTTTCTTTTGTTTTCTTTGTATTTAAAACACTTTATGATTCGTTAAGAATACTCGAAATATTTAAATATCAATTGAAATATTTACATTTTTTATGCACACAATATTTGCACTTGAAACTTCCTTTTCCTTTTATAAATATTTTGTTTTCTTTTCTTTCGTTTATTTTTTCTTTTTCATATATTTTGAATAAAATTTACATAAATATACAAATATTATTTTACTTTTTGGAGTAGGTTTGTACAAGTTAAAGTACTATATAATCCATATGTGTTGCAATTTTACGCTTATAAATGTGTAGGGTTACAAGTTTTTAGCACAAACTTCGCATACTCAGAATTCCATACGAGTTTTTTTGTGGGGACTAATGTGGGAGAAGCGCTAAAATGTGTTACATCTTCATAATATTTCTTTCACTAAGTACTCGAAAATGTTATAATGCTTTTATCTCGCAAATATTTAGTATGTTTCGCATATGCAAGCAACACTTTTACACAACCACTCATTCACGTTAATGGTTTACGGAGGGGGAAGGTTGCATGAATGATGTCGTTTATAAAATTTCAACATTAGTGATCGCAGAAAATATGAAAAATAAGCAACAACAAATACACAAGCGAAATGTTACAATTTCATTACAAAAAAAATATATTTGCAAAGACAACTGCTGGTCGTTGATGCATGTAATAAGAGTATGTGGAGTCTTCCTTTTATCGTGTGTGCAATTTAAAAATAGTGTCAAGTCGTCACGAACCCGCGCGCACCACATTTGCCAGAGTACCACTCACGTCGGCCTTGATACGTGTCAACAGCATCTGTGGTTACAGTGTTTAACTAAATCAAAGGCACAGATTTACTTATAAACGTACGGAACACACACTTGCTCAGACGCATCCACCCACACGGTCCAAAAAAAATTAAATACACTCACACAACCGATTTAATAAAAACACCAAACCAAAACACAAGAATCACTTCTTTCACAGATTCCAATACTTTGTGAAATTTAATTTCTTCGCTTTTTATATTTCTTACGTACATTTACTAAATATTCACTTTGTTGTTTTTCTTTTCTCGTATCCTTAATTGAGTTTTATTGATAGTTGTTATTATTGTTGTTTTGCTTTAAAACAATAAATATTCATACACAAAAACCGAAGACAATTTATATTGAATATATCCACACAGACAATCTACGTCATAGCTACGTTTTTGTCCGACGTCACGATGTCAACGTATCCAATGAGCCCGTTTGACTAAAGGCGCCACCAGTAGCACGACATCGAAGTGCCACATAATTGTTGTATGTTGAGCTCATGCAGATTGTGCATGTTGTAACGGCATGTAGCAGACCCATTGCCAGGTAATGGGAGAGAGATTCACTTCCTATATATCTCTCTTACTGATACTCTTTGCGCCTGTCAGTTACAAGAAACATACTTTCTCTTTGTAGTTTTGTAGTAAGTATGTGTGGTGAAAAATTACTCAGTGAAAGTATAAAAGGAAATTTCTCTTCTACTCCACTCTTATAACAAAATTAAATGTTATTTTCATTAAACATTTCCCACAATAACAAGGTGGTCAGATTATTCGATAATAGACATAAAGAATATTTCCTTCTTGATAAGGTCAACTTTTTTTGTACTCTAATACAACGTCATACAATTTTCCTTTTTTTCAAAACGAACCTCAAATATTATATGTTGAAATCATAAGAAAATATTTAGCTTTGTTTGAAAAAAATAAAATTTGTTAAGAAATTCTGCAAAAACTTGATCTATATATATATATATATATATATATATATATATTGACAAAATTTATATTTTATAACCCAAAAAAAACCAGGTGAAAAATCTGTCACATACGATATGCTACTTATGATATTCAAATATCGTCATTATAAAATTATATACAATTTTTTATTTAAAAATTATTGAAAAATATGTCCCCAACCCCCATTATCTCAATGTCTTGTTATATTTTAACGTATGGATAAATTGACAGTTTTCATACAAAAAATATTTTATACGCCAGAATATCTACAGGTTAATCGATAACCGGAAGTGGAGTTAACGGGGATTAGTGTAAAAAATTAAAACAAAAAAGATAAACCGTATATCTAATATACTTATAGTATACTGATTACAATTTATATATATTATTTCAGTTTTAAACCCACCATTAAAAAAAAATATTGCTCTAAGACCCACAAAAAGATCTAACGATAACGACATTCACAAAATTTTATCGAGATCGGTCCATATTTGCCCCAAGCCTCTTTTTCAGAAAATTAGTTTTTCATCCATAAATTGATTAAATGTATCGGGAACAAGGTTATATTAAAGATAAACGGCTGTATTTATAAAAACTTATTTTAGGTTTATTAAACAATTTTAGGCAAAATTCAGGAAAATCGTATTTATAAACGTGAAATAGCTTAAAACACCTTCAATAAACCATTGACAATTAGAAGAATTTTATTGTAGGCTCGACCCTTCTTTAAGCCAACAATAAGTTGATTTTTAACAATTTTTTTCTCAGATAAAGATTTTTCCGGTAATTTTAGGTTGATTGCGAAAACTAATTATGGTTTCTTTTAAAATAAAATCTAAAAATTCTAATTTTAACGTTTACAAATTTGTAAATAAAATCCCAGAAAATTTTTAAACGATTATATTTTGAGGAAAAAACTCAAATCTAGGCATTATTGGATTAATGCATGAATATTTGACAACATTCCAATTGTCCAGCACTATTTTTAGGCAATTTGGAAGTGCCCGTCTGTCAACCAAATGATGGACAAAATCATTTGATTTGGCTTTTTCAAAGTTTGTTGGTTAAATATAGTGCCATAAAGTAATTAACCATGTAAATTATATTGATTAGTGTTATACTAATGCAAAATATATTCGCCGACATTAAAATTAGTCAAATATCAAAGAAATTTATCAATATTTGCAAAAATTTATCAAAAATTACAAGGAAAATAAGTAAAAATAAGAAAATGTCATAGTGATGTATATTTTGTCGCAAAATATCCGTTATTCGGATACTTTTAATAATAATTAGAAATTATATGTTATATTTATACATCTGAACTAAATAGACATTTATTAAAGCCATATATATATATATTTATTTTTCTTAAAAGTTTGTTTTTATTGTCAAAAATCTATTATAAACAAAAATATGAAATTAAGAAAACCGAATCAACGAATATTTTATCCTAATTGTACGCAACACTAACACATAAAATGACAGCCATATTGTACAGTGCTGCCAACTTAAACATAAATCAGCACAATAGTTAATATACGTTTATTATTTGTTTATGAATATCACAATTTTATAATTGGTTTTTAAGGCTAAAGTGTGCTTTAACTATTGAGTGCATTAAAAACAAAAAAAGATTTTTTTATAAATACAAGCGAAATTCTTTATTATGAAAAATAAATCACATTTAGTATTCATAACTGGTGTAGGGTAGTCGGCCACACCCGACTATACTTTCTTACTTGTTATACCCTTCACCTTCGTGAGAAGGTATATATAAGTTTTTCATTCCGTTTGTAATTTCTATAATATAATTTTCCGATCCTATAAAGTATATATATTCTGGATCCTTATAGATAGGGGAGTCGATTTAGCCATGTCCGTCTGTCTGTCTGTCTGTATGTATGTTGAAATCAGTTTTCAGAAGACTCCAGATATCTGCGAGATCCGAATTTTCAATAATTCTATCGGAAATACGATCGAATAGAATGCTATTTAAAATCAGCCCAATAAATAACGAAGATATGAAAATGTCATCAAAAACTTACATTTTTCGTACATGCTTATGCAGAAACAATAAAAAAACAAAAAAAAAAAAACAAAACACAGTATCAAACGGTAAATTTTTTTGTTATTGCAATTTCTTGTTTATAATCACAAAGAAAAGAATGAGCAGCACGTTACGTTGTTATTGGCTAGAAACATGAAATTAAGTATGTAGATCCTGGATTAGGTGAGACCACATAAAAGGGGACTTTTTGGTACTTTTTTGTTCTACAAAAAGTACTTTTTGAAATTTCTATAATATTGAAACGTGAAATTAAGTATGTAGAGTCCGGATTAAGTGAGAACCTAGGCGAAAACACATTAATAGGGACTAATTGGTACTTTTTCATTCTACAAAAGGTACATTTTGAATTTTCTATAATATTGAACCTTGAAACATGAAATGAAGTATGTAGAGCCCGGATTACGCGAGAACACATAGAAGGGGACTTTTTGGTACTTTTTCGTTCTACAAAAGGTACTTTTTGAATTTTCTATAATATTGAATCTAGAAACACGAAATTTAGCATGTATGGCCTTGACTAGGTAAGAACCTATGAAAGGGGACTTTTTAGTACTTTTTCGTTCTTCAAAAGGTACTTTTTGAAATTTCTATAATATTGAACCTAGAAACATGAAATTAAGTATGTAGAGCCCGGATTATGTGAGAACCTTTAAAAGGGGACTTTTTGATACTCTTTCGTTCTTCAAAAGGTACTTTTTGAAATTTCTATAATATTGAACCTAGAAACATGAAATTAAGTATGTAGAGCCTGGATTATGTGAGATACTATAAAAGGGGGCTTTTTGGTACTTTTTCGTTCTTTAATAGGTACTAACGACCCTTGGTATGTTACGGTTTTGTATTTGGTACTGACTGGTTTTTAACACATCATGGTAAGGGGTATATAAGATCAGCACAGCCGAATATAGAACTCTTACTTGTTATTCCACCACCATCAGTGGTGATAGAGGGTATATATAAGTTTGCCATTCCGTGTGTAACACCAAGAAATATTCATCTGAGACCCAACAAAGTAGTCGATTAAGCTATGTCTGTCCGCCCGTCCGTCTGTCTGTTTGCCTGTCTGTGTAAAACACGCTCACGTAAAAACGATGCTAAATAAATTAATGCAATTCGGCCAGAAGATTCACTATTGCGCTAGGCAGTTTGATATTAAAAATAAGAAAAATCGGTTTACATCGGAAGGAGTTATGAATCAAAATTTAAAAAAACTCCGAAAAAATTAGGCTTTTTTAAAACATTCAAATATAATTTTCAGAAAAATAATGCGATATAATTTCATAAAAATCAGCACGCAATTGTTTCTATATAAAAGCTTGATTCCTGTTAAAAATGGGCGGAATCGGTCCGCCTCCCATACAAATGTACATATTGCCGGAAAACATACAGAAATGATACTGTAAATTTGTTTGCAAGATCGGTCCATATTTGGTTTACTTTTTACCAAATTTTTTCACGATCGGTCCATAGTTGGTCATAGCTCCCATACAAGGTCCCCTCCCGAAAATCACTTAAACGCACATTACTGATTACCAAATAATGGAATCCTTACAAATTTCGGCATAAATATTGCATTTATATAGAGAAATGATACTGTAAATTTTTCCATTATCGGTCCATATTTGGTCATAGCTCCCATACAACGTCCCCTCCCGAAAATCACTTAAACGCACATAACTCATTATTAAATAACCTGTCCATACAAGTTTTGCCACAAATATTGCTTTTATATATAGAAATGATGCTGTAAAACTTCTTTACAAAATTTGCCACAAATATTAATTTTGTATTTAAAAATTTAATTTTAAAATTGTTTGACGATCGGTCCATATTTGGTCATAGCTCCCGTAGAAGATCTCTTCAAAAAATCACTTAAACGCACATAACTCTTTACAAAGTAATCCTTACGAAATTTGGCACAAATATTAATTTGGTTTACAAAAGTTTTATTAAAAAGAATTCACGATCGGCCCATATTTGGTCATAGCTCCCATATAAGGTCTCCTCCCAGATATCAGTTTTTCACGTTCGGTCCATAATATGGGTCCGATCGGTCCTATACAAAGCCTCTTCAGAAAATCACTTTGATGCACATCACTTATTACCAAATAGCTATATAGACAGGAATATAGCTTTTATTTACAGAAATGTTACTGTAAAAATACTTTAACCGTTTATAGTTAATTGTCGTTTTTTTTAGTAAAATGAATTTAATATAAAAAATGTATCTTTCAAAATTTCCTTAAATATTTTACACACATGCATACCTGGAAGTTATTAAATATCTTTAAAGCATATTTTAAGGCGCTCTGCGAAAAAAATGTAGCAGATTTAAAATATTTAAATCTTTGCTTGTTCTATTAGAAAAGATGAAAAACCCTATTTCTTCAAATATTTGATTAACT